GACTTTTTGTTTTTCCAGATTTGTTTTGCCAAGAAAATAACCCCTACCCTCACCATTCTTTCTAAATAGGAATTTGTAGTATGATTGGACAGAGAACAATCCATTATTCCCAAGTTTCCACCCGATTTGATCCTCACACATAGATACCTTCTGATTTTCAAGAATCTTTATTAATTCTTCAAACTCACTCACCTCCCAATCATACAAATTCTGAGAAGCTTTGATAGCCCGCACAGCTCTTTCATTCACAAGCTGGACAGCATTCTCCACACGCAAATTCTTGGATGAGCAATGCTGAAAATACTGGGAAATATACTTCTAAGACAACCCACCTTGCACCAATCATCATCCCAGAAGTAAATCTTGTTGCCTCCACCCAGTTTCCATGAAAAACATTGCTAAAAGTTAGTCCATTGCATCATAATTTTCCTCTACAGGCCTCTCCCATGAGGGATAGTAATTCTACAGCCAGCCCTTCTTGTCATGAAATTATCCCATTTCGAATGTACAATTCTCCTCCACAAACTGTTTTCTTCTTTCAAGTATCTCCACAATCACTTACCATGTAAAGCATTTTTCACATCACCCAAGGATTGAATTCCCAACCCCCCCATTTTGGGAGGCTCTTTGATAATGTCCCACTTTACAAGATGGTATTTCTGATCATCATCACCATCACCCCAAAAGAATCTATATTGTATTGCTTTCAATCTTTTCGCCACCTTGGAAGGGATAGTAATTGTTGATAGATAATATATTGGGAGATTAGATAAAATGCTCTTGATTAATGTATATCTCCCGCTTTTAGAGAGAAAGCTTCTCTTCTACTCTGAAAGTTTTCTTTCAAACAATTCAATCACCGGCTCCCAAGACATGAGATCTTTGTATTTAGAAATGGTCTGTGTTCTTTCAAACAATTTCCCATTGTTACTGTGTTGTTTCAATTTTGGAAAATTTCTATTTAGAAATGGTCTGTGTAACTTGTAACGCACATTATGTTTTCATCATTTTCTTTATAAGAATATGTTAGTCAACAAAATTTGTTAGAGATTTTGTATAGTTAAATTGACAACTATGATGCTTTCATTTAGTGTATTGGATGATGTATGGTTGAATGGAGGCCCTGTTTGGACATTTAATTAATTGTTGTTAGTGGTGAGCGTTACAGTACACAAAAATAAAGGCATGGGACCCATGGAAGCAGCAAAGGAAAGGTTTTTGAATCTATAGTTGGGTAGAAAGTTGGCCTCTTTAAGGAACTAAGAAGAGTTAGAATTCTTTAAAATTTCTTTTAAGTATTTAAATTTAGATTTAGATTAGGAGATTGGAATAAAACTAGGACTATAATTGCTAAAATTATAATTAGATTTAGATTAGGACTTGGAATGATTCTTAGAATCGTAATAGGGATCTTATTCAATTA